TGGGAGAAGGGAATGGTTAGGAATCTTAAACCTTATTTCGATCAAGTGGTGGACCCATAAATTATTTTGAACGGGTGCACATTTAAGGTCGATCAAAAAGTTAAAAGATCATCGTTGCTGCGGGGGAAGTCATCGTGGTTTGACCCAATAAAAAGTTAATTATGTTAATTTGGGAAATAAAATACATTTTTCTAAATGAAATCGACTTTCACCTTTTGAGTAAGGTGCAAGACTATGTGTTATGTTTGACGTGTTTTTAGCTGAATTCCATCGTTACAAAAAACTTTTTTGGTTTTTTTGGTTAATTTCCTAGAATTTTCTATTTTTTGATTTGATTTTAATTGTCCTTTTACTTTCTTTTTCTAGGTTTTCAATTCGTTTTCTCATGCATCTAAGATTTCTAGTATTAAATATGATATTTTACAATTTAAAATTAACAAACCAAATTAAAATAACACAAGGGTTTGAACAAATGAAGAATGATTACGCAGATTTAGTGAAAACGGATTTAAAACAAAATATAGAATTTAGGACAAGTATATAATGAAATAAAATCAATTTAGAGCAAATATAGAATTTAGGGTAAATAAGCAACTCGATGATAAATGAAGCAATTTAGGACAAGTAAATAAATATAACAAATAATATGTTTGGAAAATACGAACCAGATAAAAAAACGAATGATTCCTTATATGTGGGTGATTGAAGAACGAAAGTGGGAATAAAAATCCATTGTTTACATAAATTTTATTAAAATTACATTTTTGGTCCCTTAGTTTCAGAATATTTTAGAACAACCTTCTATTTCTAAGACTTCCATGACAAAACCATTTAAAAGATATAAAAATAAATAAATGTTGCAAGTGCAACTCGAGCCCAAGACCTCTTAGAAGAGAGTAGTGATGGCTAAAATCCGGTCTCGGGCCGGGCCGGGCCGAAGCCGGTTCGAGGCCGGAACAATGTCTTGTAACCGTTCTCAGTCCCGGTCCTGCCGAATATACTTAGGCCTGGTTAAGGGTTTTTGTAACCAGTTACGGGTGACCGGTCCCTACCCAAAAAAAATATTTTTTAATTTTTTTAATGATAGATTTTTTAATACATTATAGAATTGTAATTTGGTCACTCAAATACACTTTAAAAATACGTTTTATTATAATTAAAACTACATTCAAATATTCAATTACATTCAAATATTCAATTATTTGAAAATACATTTATTCATCATCGGTATCCCATGTCAGATTGATTTGAAGAGTTTCGGTCTCTTGAATTATTCTAATAGCCTCTTGGTCATCAATGTTGAGTTCCTCATCATCGTCATATTGTGAGTAAGTGTCGTCGGTACCGGTAGTTGGAGGCGTGCTTAGTCCCATGACGATTTCATTTTCTTCCACCTCTTGAATCTCCACCTCTAACGATGTCGTGTGTTGAATTCTATCAACGTTATCCAAGCAATCCTTCAAACTGATACAACACTCCACGGACTCTGGGCTTAGTCTCGTTCAACTTATCGAAATGATCCTGCCACTAAGAGAAAAAGTGGACTCCGAAGCTACCGTACTAGCTTGGATTGTTAGTATATCCGTGCTATGCATGCCAAACCCGGGAATTCAGGTTGCTTTTGTTTCCAAAAATCTAATAGATCAATTTTTTTCAAAATATTCGAAATCATTTGCGGGGCATGCGCTCACAAAGTTAGTATGCACATACATGTTTAGTTCACCCAAATCGTTATCAAATCTACTTTTTTTACTTGATTCATTTAAAACCTCGTTCATGAAATTAGTCATCAACTCTTTCCGACTTTGGCGATAACCACTAGAAAAACTAGAACCCGTATATCCACGACTTGAAGAGTTTTGTTGTTGGTTTTCTTCTACATAAAAATGTTTATAATGATCAAATAAATCTTAAAATTTACGATTAAACAAACATATTTGTTCCATTGAAAAAGAATTATTCATAGTCGTATCTAAACCAAAGGGCACACATACTTGTGTAATTAAAACTTCAACTTCGATAACATTTAAATACGGATTTAACGCCACAGCACAAAAAAAGAAAAGAAATGGAATGTTCATAAAATATTTTAACAATTTCTTTTTCATTAAACTCATCATCAACCTTCCCCAATCATGATGGTGTTCGTATTATGCAATCTTACTTGCCAAAATATATGGTTGATTTAAAAGTAAAATGGCTTGTTGAATAATAAATACCGGATAAAAGTGTTATTGCATTTTAAAATTGCCTAAAGTATCGTACAATCCTTCGACCATGACTCAATCAAGATTCCAAATAGAATTTTGCGGGTAATGGCGTTTATAAAATGAAAAAATATAATTTTTTTATTTTACCAAATTTTCAATCATAAAATAAGTCGAATTCCATCTAACGGGCATATCGAACCTCAGTCCCAAAGCATTAAAACCAATGTCTTCGCAATATTTTCTATATTCCGCATTCATTTTCTTACCCTTTGTGAAAATTCGCCGCAACATAAGTCTAAACTTATCTATTACGGGTTTACAAGTATTTAAACTGTCTTGAACGATTAAATTTATTATATGTGCACAATAACGTATATGAAATAATTTACCGTTTAAAATAGATGTCAAATGACATTTTTATTTTTCCACACATAGATTGTCATTGTTAGCGGTATCATATGAAATGATAATTATATAGCAGATAAATTATAAAATGCAAGACATTCTTTAATAATTGAAAATTGACGTGCACCCTAATGTGGTGCATCAAACGGTTCAAACGTGATTACACATTTGAATAAATGTCACAATTGCTGCTCAATCCAATGTGCCGTAATGCATATATACGGCAATCCGTGTAGTGCGCTCTATAGATCACACGTTAAAGAAATGTTGTTAAGCAAAAGAGAAAACATTTGTTGCATTTCACCTCGACACATTTTCCACATTTTAATTGCATCACGTCTAAGGGTTTGACGACTTCCTGGCTTGTATCATGGTTGTAGTATTTTTTGGATCAACTTCGTAATGCGAGGGTTGTCAAAATGTTTGAAAGGCAATCCGACTTGAATGACACATTGTGTTGTCATTTGTCGGTTCAAATCGACATCCCATATTTGATCTTGAGTGTCAAGTATCGGTTGGCTTGAATCGCCCCTCGACCTTAACCCCGAGCACGTTTTTTCGGTGTGTCGCCTTAAAGTAGAATTTCCTTCCGATGTAAGAAGAGCTTGACACGTTTTGCATTGTGCCTTTTTTTCCCGTTCGAGAGGATCACCAAGTTGTATGAATTCCAAATCTCGGAGTTTCGTTTGTGCTCAACGAGAACTTGGGCAACTTGTTCGTTTGATGCATCATGTTGTTCACCGGCCATTTTGTAAGACAAAGAGTGAAAATAATGAAAATTGTGAAGTGGAAGCGAGACATGAATACGAGCCAAAGTCACAAAATATAGCGAGAAACAGAAAATTGTGAACGTTTTTTTACGTTTTTGCGTTTTGTAAGTTGGTATGTAAATCCATACTCCACAACACTTATATATATTGTTTAGAAGACCAAAAAAAAAGGGTCAAAATCAGTCCCAATGGTCATAAACAATAAAAAAAGGGTAAAAAACAGCTAGTTTTTCAAAAACCTGGCTGAGTCGGTCCTTTGTTGGTCTCGGTTCCAGTCCTCTGACGGTCCCAAGTCGGGCCTTTCTGGTTTGGCCATCACCAGAAGAGAGGCAGATTTACTTTATTATAGTAACCATCTCAACAACTTTAGTTTGCTGTTATTATTTTGTTTTCCAATACTTAAGAGCTTACTTATAATTAAGCGGGTGAACCACTTTTCCTTTGTGATAATCGAATGAGCAAGCGAAGGGGCCCCACTCAAGTCTTAGTAGGTCCGCTCTTGTTTCGATCAAAACTCTATGTTGCATCCGCTATTTCTATAAATAATCAATATTATCTCTAATTTACAATATTAAAAGAATATTATACAAGGTTCAAAAAGACATGAGACGTGGCGGGACAGTGAGGCTTGCCTTACACGCCATCGTGAGGACACCACATGACATAAAGCGGCAATTTTGTATGTCATATATAGAATCATATTATCTAAGCAGATAATGATATTAAAAAAATTATACATTCATATTAGAAGAAGAAAAACCATATAGATTTTTATTATAAAAATAGTTTTTGATTAAATGTTTAAAATAGAACTTAGAAAGGTAATTTTTCAACTTCATTTTAACTGTGAGTTTGTAACGTTTATGATTTATGAAACTGTGAGTGATATGATTAGTTAGATCTATAAAAATATAAATCTAAAGTTAAAAGTGTAAAAATACAAAAAATAAAATAAAATTTAAAAAAATCACGTATTACTAAAAACGCACACGACAACACGGTTAGAGAATTAAAATTGAATGAATAAGATATCAAAGAAAGTTATGGTAATAACCGATTTGTATTCAAATTAATTCCTTAATTATATCTCATATGTCATTAATACGTATATACCATTTTTCTTAAATGAGGGGCTAATATTAATAGAAGCCTTATATGCATGCTTTTTTTAATGACTTTTTCTTTTACCTTTCATGTTTTATTATTATTCTTCTTATTTTAAGTGATATATATTATACTAATGTTGTTTATCAAATACTTATTCAATAAAATTTAATATTATTTTTTATTTATCTAATAAGATTTTAATCTATTAAAACAACATCATATGTAACGATTTATGTTTTAAAAAACTCAAAATTGAGCATGGCCTAAATTTTGTGTGCTAACCAATTAGGGGACATGTAAAATAAATGGTTAGTAGCAGCAGGATACATACATGCTTTCTTTCGTTTCGAATGCTTGCTCACTTTAGAAATATCTCTTTCTTTCATCTCAATCTCAATCTCAATCTCAATCTCAATCTCATCCAACAAGGCTACCGTCTCTCCTCCCTCTTTGTGAATGTGATTTTCCATCCTCCTCGCGCTTTTATGTGGATAAGGTAACGAAATTGCAGTTTTTCCTACCTATCGCTGTCGATTTTTCATTTACAAGGGAAATTTGACAAATCTTGGAATCTGGGTGTACAAGATGTCGATTAGTTTTTGTGTGGTTGTGTTTTGATTTTCATTTGTACAAGAGAATTTTCGGAAATTTTTGTGGGTTTGAAGAGATCCGAAGCTATTTTGGTGGGGCATCTGAAAGCGATTCGAGGAAGTACTCTGGACTTCCATTCGATATTCGCAAGTGTTGAGTGGGAGTTGTTGAGAGAGACTTGCTTGAATTTGTGGACTGTAAGCATTGAGAACCACCCAAGATATCTTTGCCGTTCGTTCTGGATTTTTCATATAGTTTTCGGCTGTTTGTGTGACATATTCAATGTTGGTGGCTGCCTGCTGTTTGCGCTTAGCATCATTAGACCTTGACTTTCTCTCTCACACACACTGACAGGTGTAAATTAGTAAAATCTGATATAATCTTAACTCTTAAGTTTGGAATTGAAGCGGAGACAGATTGTTTGTTGTTGACTTGTAATTGTTTAGGATCCTTGGTTTCTGGTGCGTCTTCACTTACCCCTCTCCACCCCAAATGCCTCTTGAAAATTCATATTCTTCATCTCTTTTGTTTGTGTTTCTTGTTTTCAAAGAGATTGCTCAAGTGGGTACTTTTATGTTTTAATTAATGAAACTTTCTGATTCTTATTCTGAAACTTCTTTATAAGTTGGACAGAAGTTGGAAACTCAGTTGGCAGTTTCTGGGGTCAATTGATTAATCAAAAGTTTGGTTTGCTTTTTCTAGGGTTCCTCTGCAAATTGGTTTTCAATGTTTGTTTGATGTTTGAGCGCTTTCCATTAGAGTTTAGCTCTTGGAAATATGGAGAAAGATTTGTACGAAACCTTGACGAAGAAAGACAACATGGTGGCTAATCCTGGGCTTCAGATTATTAAGCACCCCTCTTATCATTCTTATGGTAAACAGTTGTTATCATGGTTTGATATACGGGTGTTCTATGTAAGAATAAGCAATCTCATGGTTGATGGCTACACCCCTGAATATCTCACGCTCAACCATATACCATTGGATCCTGATACTGTCCTTGAAGTTAATGGTAGAAGATGTACCCTTCAGTCGGAGGGTAGTTCTTGTCGTCTAAGAAGGAACCGAGTAGACAAGAAATTTGAAGAAGCTACTTTCGTAAGCACAGACAATATAAGGTTGTCGGGTAGTGTGAAGTTTGAGGTTTTTGATGGGGAAGATCTCATTCTTTCTGGGGCTTTGGAGATATCTAATGATTGCAATGGGAACATCGGTGAATCAAAAGACAATGATGTCGGGAAGTGGAGCATGACTTGTGAATCATTGATTTCTGCTAGCAATCGATTTCTGAAGGGAAAGCAAATGGTGGTTTGTGATTCAACACCGCCAATGATTGAAGTTTATGTTGCTGGATCGTTTTCAGGGACACCAATTATTTTGACAAAGACTTTGCAGATTAGTCTCAGGAAGAAGCAAAATAGAAAAGGGCGGTTGGATACAATCCCAGAGTATGAGACCGCAGAATCACAGAAGGATGTTGCAGCTGGGCATGATCTTCAGGTACTAAATGAAGTTCTAGATATATGTGTGTTTGTCTATCTGTTTTGCATATTTATATACCTTTTTTTATTAACCTGGATATCCAACGAGCCGACTAATCCCAGGGCAACCACCCGCTTCGTGAGTAGCCCGGAGTCACCGCATGTGAACCTCCGTGGCCACAAGGGGATTTTTATTCCTCCTTGGATTCGAACATGGGACCTCCAGACACTTTTGACCTTTGGAGGCCAAGCTCAAACCAATCGGGCACCACCCTTGTGGTTTTTATATACCTTTATCGTTAAACTTCTTGAGATCGATAGATACAAAATTTGAAAATATTTAGCTTTTAAGATCTCGAAGCTTATACCTTGTGGCCATTAGGTTTCAAGTTCTACTCAGTAATTTACATGTACTCCCCCATCTCATAATTAGTGTCCACTTTAGTCTTTTAGTCAAAACTAGCATATTTCAAATTTCAATTTTGGATGATATAATTTTATGTTTTTACACCCATTTTTTCTATTTCTGATTCATCAAAAAGTAGTGTAAAATTTATAGAATTGTTTATTTTGCTGATACAAGGTTTATTCGGAATGGAGCAGGATTATAATTCACTAGGCTACACGTCATTTGGTTCATGAATCAAGTCGAATTAACATGATTTGGATCATACCATTCTGACAACTATGATTTTGAGTGCTTATTTTCTATGCTGTTAATATCGCGATATATCGGCGATATATCGGATATCGCTCCTAGAGAAAATATCGATCCATAAATATCGGTCTAAATATCGTCCCCGATATTATCGGCGATTTTTCCCGATTTTTAGCGATATTTTGATACAAATATCGGACCGATATATCGATTTTTTAGGGTTTAAATATTTGGGCTTTTGTTACTTCATGGGCCTAGTTTTTTGGGCTTGGTAACTTAAATTAGGTCCGAAATTGATCTGCCTCCACAACGGTCTTCTTCTTTCTTTTATATTAGCTCGTTTTTGAACTCTTTAGATGATGTGATGTTTTAATTTTGAAACTATATTTCTAAACTCTAATTAATGCATATTATATATATAATTCTAAGAAATATTATGTTAACCGCTATTTTGGACCGATATATCACCGATATAACCGATATATCGAATATCGGTCCTGACCGATATTTCGTATTCTGACCGATATAACAGCATAGCTTATTTTATATTCCACGTATTTTGATGTTAAAATGTACCTTAAAGAATCTTGAAAATCTAAAGTTTGACTCCAATTTTTGGAAGGAATATCAGTCACTAGAACACTTGTGGAATCACACTATCAATTAGGTAAAATCATATATTCTCTTCATTCCTTCTTGTTAATGGACCTTTAATGGCGCTTTTCATTCCCTGAATTAAAATTCTTTTGTCGTTGGTTTAAAATGAAAGATGAAATAGAACATGCTTAAATCTCATCAATGCTCACAACTCTACTTGTGTTCGACATCAATGGGCTGGTCTTCTGTAGGGAGAGCCTAAGAATGTATATGTAGATCATGTAGGCTTGGTTTCACAATTAAGGTGTTCTTTTTAGCTACACCACCTTGTATGAAGCACTTGGTTTGGAAACCATACCACAAGGTCTTAGGACTGTGGAAAAGGGCAACCTCCTCCAACTTGTGACCTGATTGATGTTGATCATTTGGTGAAGTGATGGTGCACATTCTTGCTTTATATTGAAGGACAACAATTGCCATCTTTTTGAGGCAGCATGCACCTTTCTTATTTATCGGAATGTTCCTGATGTTCTGATCAATTGGTCGCCTTCATCTATCTTAGATGGAGGCATTCACTTTACCATCTTAACCATTAAGAACCCTTTTTTGTGTCTCCCAAAATTTTTGGTTGTCCGTATGAGTCTGCAACTTATGTGGGAGTAAACCAAATTTGACAGAAATGGATCAAGTGTGCTTTTGTTTACATGCCTAGAAAGGTTATAGGTGCTATAGTCCTAGCCTTAGAAGATACTTAACGTGTTTGCTGATATTAGCTTTAGTTAATTTGGGTTTAAAACTTTTCTCCCAACAACTTCTCTTAACTTTATACCTCATCTCACATCATTAGCACATCTTGAAATTCTGACTTATTTCTTCTCGGTCAAGTTGACATTTTATATTCGATGGTGACGCCTACTGTTTTCTGCTCATGATGCCTAAGAAGACTTTGATATTCAGTGTGCCAACCCACTTGCAGAAAGCAAGCAAATCCACTAGATTCTTGGCATAACCTCTTTGCGCACCTGCTACCTTGTTAACTCTGGGCAAAGTCACAAGTACTTGTACATGATATCTCATCCAAAATTACTTGGCCCATCTTGTTATATCATATTGCATAGTGTTCATATGCATTCACCACACCCCTAGATGGTTGTTCAATTCCCTGACATGTAATGAGGCGCTTGACACATGCAAGATGAAAGCAGAAAGAATGCTTTATGTTTTCCTTGTGCATTATGAAATAATACGTTGGGACCTTTATATATGATATAACTTAGAAACAAATCCCCTAAAAATCATGGCCTAAATATCAGGAAAGGGATTCTATTAAATCAGGAAACAGATAATCCTCATTTAAGCCGTATCACAATCAATATATTACAGATTTCAACACCCGCCTTCAGGTTGGATTTTATATATTGATCATCTCCAATTTGCTTAAGAAGTCATTGAATTTGTCTTGTGAGTCCTTTGGTGAAGATATCTTGGGTAGGAACATAAGCATATGCATGGCTCCCTTCTCCACCAGTTCTCTGATAGAATGTTTATCCACTTCCACATGCTTGGTTTGGTCATATTGGACAGGATTGAGAGATATATTAATTGCTGCTTTGTTATCATGATAGAGCTTGGGGCTTCTACTGAAGTTCTTCTAGGAGTTTTCTTAGCAAAGTGCTTCACAAATTCCTGGAGCAACTGCTCTAAATTCTGCTTCGGGACTGCTTGTGGCTACCGTGTTCTATTTTTTGCTCAGTCATGTTACTAGATTCCCTCAATCCTCATACAAAGGTGCAATATCTAGAAGTGGACCTCCTATCTTCGATTTGACCCAACCCAATCTGCATTTGTGTAGGTTTCTATATTAATTTGCATTTCGCTTTAGTTAACCCTGTATTTGCGTTTGCCTAGATTTCTATGCCTTTGCATTCATCTTTCTTGAAGTATAATTACCTTCAAGGTGATCCTTTAAGATATCTATGTATCTTGTATGCTGCCTCCATATGATACCAAAAATGATACTCTAGTTTTGAAGTTTATTCCTATTGAGGGAACTGTTTGAAATGTAAATGGATTTTTACTATAAAGTTGCATCCTGATGGATCTTGTGATGGCTTGAGACTCTTAGATCAGCAAGTTGGTCTATTGGTTTTTGATCAGGGACCTTTTCTACAATAACAAATAACAGTTATATGTGTATCTGCATTGTATATCACAATTTTCACCATTTTGGGCTCTATATAAAATTATCAGCATGGTTCTCTTGAGGTGTGTACAGATCAACCACCAGGCTTTGTGGTTCCTCAAGAGGAGTCCAAATGCTGTCATCTTTGTTCTCTATATCACTTGAATAGTCCTATGTTCAAATGATTATCGAACGTTCTCCATGAGTTTTATCTGACTAGGAGTGACAACCACTATTCCATTTTTGACCAACCCTGGTAACCACGCACCTTGACTAATCTCATGGGTCCTTGAAGTTTGAAGATTACAGTCAGGAAAATCCCCAGTAGCCTGAGGAGACACGAACTGGCGAGTTATGGGTAGGATCCCCAAGGCCTAGCCTTTATTTGCCAATTGAGTTGACCCTCAGGTGATGGCTTTCAGGCAATTGCTTAATCTGGAAAGAGTTCCAGGTTCCCTAATCTCGACAAGAACAAAGGCATCATGATTGATTTTATTGCTGTCCAAACATAGTTCATACCTTTTTTCTGTTTGTTTAATTACAAAGTTATTTGGTATATGCATTAACACATCTTGATCTGAAATGGAACTTAATGTAACCCCATATCTCATTGGTATGCAGGTAGCAGAATATAGACGTTACAAACCTGTAAATGACGAAAATTATGACAGCAGCCTGTACTGGAGCCAGACAGAATACATGGAAGGTGAAGATGGAGCATTGTCATGGTTCAACGCTGGTGTGAGGGTTGGTGTTGGCATAGGGCTTGGCGTTTGTCTTGGGGTCGGAATTGGAGTTGGTCTTCTTGTTCGAACGTACCAATCTACCACCCGGAACTTTAGAAGGCGGCTTTAGTAAATTCCTTTTATACCCTTCCCATGTATTATTTCTTTCTTTTCACTTTTTGATCATATGCTATAAAGGGTGTAGAAAAACAACTTTATCTTGGCCTAAGTTTATAAAACCAAATCAAGAATCCCAATACCTTTCTCTGTTTCTGAAAGTTTTCAACAATTTTGACATAATAGATTTGCATACTACATTTAAACAAGTACAAAGTTCAATCAGGAAGAGCAAAAGCATCATAACTTTAACCACATATATAGGGAATTCAAGATTTATAAGCAAAATTCAAGATTCATAAGCAAAATAATCCAGTCACCATTGATCTAGACTCGGTAGACCAGTTGACTTGCTATAAACTTTTTACAACAATTTGTTAGCATTCTGTATATTTAGACTCTTCAGCAATCCCGTTAGTTGCAGCAGAGGGAGTCTTTTGTTCGAGACCCCAGAATTTAGCAGTTTTCAGGTCGTCTTGCAGCATTAATCTAGAGAAATCTTCATGGTCATACTTCATAGTTGCCTTCCCACCAAACTCAGTTGGGAGATTATCCACATCGAAACAGGATCTCATGAGCTCCACGCTCTCTTTATTCTTTGGGTACACGAATTTCACCTTCTGGATCGTTTTTGGGTCCAAGAAGTACTTAACAATCTGCATATTAATCAGATATGCTGTTAAAAATCTAGTGGCATCCATAATCCATAAAGATACTTGATTCAAACAATACAAACCTTCCAAAATGCTTCAAAAATTCGTGGGGGGCTGTAGAGAAACGCTACTGCTAGCCTTTGCGGATAGTGGTTTTGTAGTATGCTTATGGTTTCACGTGCAGTTCTAACTGGTACGTTGGTGCTGAAAGACCATCCACTGAAGTCTATCAGCCATGCCATTTCTTCTTGGTCTTCTGGAAGATTAAGTATAGCATTTTCTATCAAGTACACCAGATGTCTGATCTGGTTTTCCATTGATGTTGTGTTCTGCAACGACTTAAGTTTAAATATCTCCATAACCATAGAAAGGATAAAAGGAAGAAGGTTTGTATTAGAAAAGGCAAGCGACGGTCATGTAATCACCTGTCGTCCTGGTTTCATTATGAGAACGGTTCTTCCAAAACGGTCACGAAAATTGGCTCTGAAAACTTTCCCAGTTTCACCTTCGACAGATATCTCGTGCCAACGGATTTCTTGTGGTTTGAAGGTTGATCTCCATACAAGGGTATCTTCCAGCATCTTTTTGGCTTTGTCTACGTTCCAGTTTCGAGCTTCGAGATATCTTTTGAAGCATGCATCAGTGCAGTAGAGTAAGTCATGCCCAGAAAGGGGACCAAGAGCTGCTTTAAGCTCATTCACCTGTGAATGAATCAAGTGTAAGTATTTGTTTGAATGTTTAGGAAGTTGTAGTAGTTAAGTTACCTTAGATTCAGGGTGAAGCTCATGATGATCCTGTTCTTGCTGTTGCCGAACAGACCCTCGACGGCGAAACATGGAGATGGTTGATTAAGAAAATTAAATGGTGGTCTACTTTTCACATTGTTCAGCCAAAGTTTTTTCTTTAATATAAGATGAAAGATCCTTAATAGATAGGAAAGTGGGAAGTAGGTGCGGTGAGGGATGGGGATGTAAACCCAAGTTGACCATCATAACCCATGAAACAATCTGGATGGAAAATCTAACACCTTTTTTCTTACACCAAAACATGGTTTTCATGATTAATCACTTAGAAAATTAAGGAACAGATTGATACGGGTCATAGGCGCCAGACTTGACTTAACTTACAAACAATTATATATATATATATATATATATATATATATATATATATATGGGTCCATTCAAAGGAGAACTGATTAGTTTGTGGTAACTGTGAGATCTAATCTTATGAAAAATTTTCATGAAATTGTTTATTCTTGTGAAATTGTTTCATATAATACTTTTTTTGATGAATTTGTTTCATATATGGTTATGAAATTGTTTCATATAATACTTTTTTTGATGAATTTGTTTCATATATGGTTATGAAATTGTTTCATATAATATTTAATGAAATTTTAATGAAACTGTTTCATGTATTTCTCTAAAATTAAAATAATGAAGATAATAATATCC